GTAGAAATAAAATGTATCATTTGAAATCAGTGTGAAACAATTCAGAATGTTGCATAAATATCTTATGTTTAGTGGGTTATAAGTAAAATTATTTGAGTTAAGATGATTTGAATTTAAATGGTTTTTTTTTAAAGAAAAACTAAGTATATTATATTTATTACATGTTTTATATTTTCCCAAAGTATTTTTTGCGACAAATAATGCTTTTAAATTAAAATATTTTTGAACAAAATTGAAAATACGAATAAAGCGTACCTAAATGTAAAAAGTGACACTGTTAGAATGATTAATTATAAAATAAAACCAATGATTTATGAAACTTTTTATCGAAACGGATATAAATTTTCTGCGATCCTGTCCCGTAATGCGTGACCTTCTCTTCCCAATTCTGCATTTATATCGTTGTAAATAGCTGCTTCATGATTAACATTGTCAGCATTATTCATCATTGCCTGAAGACCCTCATTTATAAACGTGTTTCGTATTTCTTCATTTTCTTCGTTATTTAAGCATATGTTATGTAACACGCATGCAGCAATTATTGTTGGTGCTATGAAATCTGTTCGATTCATATCAAGATATTTCACCTAAATCTTCCAAATAAAAGAGCAATACAACGTTCGAATCTTTGGCGAGACTTGGCGTGGCAAGTATTGAAATGTTTTTGCCTTTCTGTAATATTTCTTCTTTCGATGTAGGGAGGTATGCACCACGACAAAATGGGATATGCCTTATCTCCGATAATAAATTGATTTTCATCAAAATAATTATTTGCATTATTTGTGATATCTTTGTATATTGGCGAATTTCGAAAAATCCTTATATCTGATACTCTGCTAGGATAACCCGTAAAGCAATCTATAAGTGACAATTTATCATCACATATTAGTTGCAGAGTTATGGCATAAAAACATTTTCTATTAATGTAGACATCCGAATTTTCACTTGGAGCCTTGATAGCAACATACGTTCCATCGATAGCACCAATTATACCTTCTATTCCAGCAGAAGCTTGAAAAGATAGCGCTATGCGTTAGCGTTCCTCTCTATTTGGCCAAAATATTATTTCTGGAGAAATTTCATTTAAAGCAGTTACAACCCGCATAAAAATAGCAGATAATGTAGACTTTCCTAAATCAAAACTACAACCGACTGATCTACAAAATAAAAGAGTGTGAAATTACAAAATAAATATTTTTAATTTTTATAGCTTGTTTAGTTACCGAAAACTGTCTGGTGTTGCTAATAGCCATAAAAAGGAGAGTAATTGTATTTTCGGATCTCTAGTTTGATGTCCAGCTGCTCGAGCACTTTCTAATAGAGGAGCTATTCGATTTAGGAGCCATTCAAAACTTGTTACGGTTATTCTGAAGTGACTTTGAAATTCAGAAGCAGTAGACATATCGACAACTCTTTCGATAAAACCTTCAATGCGATGAGGCTTGGTTACTGCATTATTAATTCGGACTTTTAATCTGTGCAAATATAATTCCATTTCTTCATCGCTATCTTCATTGTTGCTGTCAATGCTTCGATCAAAGAATATTAATTTGTTTAAATAGCTAATCACAGTTAAACCAGCTACCTTTATTAAATTCTCCATTTTAACAAGTTGTATCTAAAAATAATTAAGGCTATCTATGTATGCTTTTCTTTTAGAGAACACACTCGACACAAACATCGTTCTACCTTTATCGTTGAATATTAAGAAGGATTGAACGACGTTTGTTGTCTTCATGTTCTGCTAATGTCTTGATACTTGCCATCAACAAATCGTCATTTCCTAAAAATACATTCAATATCAACTTGTTATCACATCCTGCTCATGTAGTGTCAAATTCTCTTGATTCTCTTCGGCAGAGACATTTATAGTATCTCGTTCTTCATCAACAGCCGATGGTTCAATATTTATAAAGCTAATATAACAAATAAATAAAAATGTGTTTGCTTTTGATGCTTAAAATTAACAAAGCATTAAATGTAATTTGATATTTTGTAAATATTTATATTTCAACTCACCCATCTCTAGTTAATATTCCTAAAGCATTAGTTAAATCATCAACTTTTTCTTATCTCAATTTTTCTTCTTTGGCATAACTTTTTTCTATACTATAATCTTCAACACCATTTCTAAGAATTTCTACTCTCAATATACCATCTCGTGGGCATTCATCTCTTATATGTTCTAAACAATTAGTTGGTGCGCGTGAAAATACTTATATGGATATAAGCCAATACAAAAAATGCCAATAATATAGCCTGTGAACAAGGAATTAGTGATATCTTAATATATATTTATAGTTTATTTTTAATATTACTTCTTTTTTTGTTTACTTTGATATACAAGTTATTCATATAAATTATTTAGTTGTATTAGTAACTTGTTATTTGTAAATAATTTATATGTTAAATAGTTAACGCCTTGTACATACCTTTAAAAGAATTATAAATTCTATAAATCTTCTTTTTTTAGGTTATCCAAGCAAAAGCGACCGCGATTAAGGCTATCTATGTTTTCATGGGTCAGAAGACAAAGATATTGGTTGCTTCTGGTTGCATAACGAAAAAACGCAATTTTATGTCGTTCTGCGCATGCGAGACGTTTCTCGTCGGAGTCTCGAGCACGATGAAAAGTTGTCGTCCGGGCGTTTGCAAATTGTAAAACAGAACGCGGTTATGACGTCACAACTTGGTAAACGGAACGGTTTTGGACAAAAAGTTGTCGTCCGGACGTTCATTCGGAACGCACCCCAATTTTTATTAAAAAACTGAAAATCGCCCAAAGGTCGCATAATTTTTTTTCGAAATCGCCCAATTTGCGATGGTCGCAAAAGCTTAAAATTTAGTCGCAATTTCGACTCTGGGCAGCGATCATGTAATTTCACGCGGAAAGTTTCACTTTTCACAATTCCGCTCACTCAGATTCCACGTGAACTTTTCCGAGCGATCATGTATGAAGGAAAATGTGAAAAGTAAAATCACTAAACATATCACCACATCCATAAAGAAATTACTAGGATAATACTAGTATTATTATGATGCGATATCTTGATATTTGAAAAGGATAAGAATATATGGTATGATAAACATAATAAATTACAAAAATGAACGTA